TATCCCACTGGGTACACACAGGTTGAAACAACATTGGAATAGACGTTGAATGGACGTCTGTGCCCAGTGGGATAGAGCTGCTGAAAGGTGCTAGTGGAAAGATGGAGGGAGAGAAAAGGAGGAGGAAAGGAGGAGAGATATGCTGAGATATACACAGCGAGAAAAGAGCAAGAAATGGAGGAAGCAAGAAAGCACATCAAAAGACAACACAAATATGAACAGACACAATGTGTGTGTCTCACTAGGTTTCAGACAGGGACAGAGAAGCATTGTGATGCAGCTACCTCAGCACAGCTGAAACCCAGACTAGTGTCTGTAGGTGATTTGAGGATACATTTAACTCATTTAGCAGACACTATTATCCAGAGCAACTTACAGTTAGTGAGTGCATACATTTTCATACTGGCCCCCCGTGGGAAACGAACCCACAACCCTGGCGTTGCAAGCGCCATGCTCTACCAACTGAGCTACAAGGGACTATACATGAGACCTTTCTAAACAAATCCTTATTGAGTCAAAATTTCTTCAATCATCCCTTTTCCTCTTTTCTTTGTTGTTGCTTTTAATAGCATTGCCATGGATGTGAAGAGTGGTTGCTAGGCAACTGGCTGGCGTCTGGAACGTGTTTGATCGGCGGCTAGCACTGACAGACATAGCAGTGAAGTGGATCAGGACTGTGTGTGTGTGTGTGCGTGAGTTGACTGGCACTCCATCTTGCATCGTTATTTGTGCCTTCTAATGAAAACGTCTCATTTAGTTTTTCAGTTTCGATGCATATATTCATGAGTTCCATGTTTTTCTTCATTTATTCCATGTTACAGATTAGCTGAATGAACAGCTGATGTTCTTTCATACTCCTCCCTGCTTGTTGCCATGAGCCCTGTTTATACCTGGTGTAACATATGTCCTGATCTTGTCCACATTTTGATTGTCCCCACATTTTTAAACAGGTTTAGACCATTAAAAGACTCATTGTGGTCTGATTGTGATCAGGTCTTCCGGACCACTTCCTGAGGTAGTCAGGGATGCATTGTGTCTGGATATCTTACAAGTGTAGATGGACCGTGCTTCTACATCTGCATTGCTTGCTTTTGGGGTTTTAGGCTGGGTTTCTGTATAGCACTTTGTGACTGCTGCTGATATAACATTGATTTGATCTGGACAGTGAAACAACTTAAATCATCATTATCCATCCCTCTAAAACCATTGACAGGTGGCACCATTGACTTATGGCATCAGTGTTTTTTAAAATAAATGAATAAATATTATTTTGAAACAATATCTGTTAAATGATTTGCGTACAGGGAAATCTGGTGACAATGCAGACACAGTGGATGGGTAAGAGACACATGTTAATACCATGTGTAGCTGCCAAGGCTAATATGTGGGCACAATTAGAGCGTGGACAAGATCAGGACAAAGCACGCACGTTAGCACCAGGTACAAACTGGGCTATGAATGCATCTCTATTAGCCTGTTAGATTAAGTCAGGTTCCTGAGATATTGAGATGTAAAGTAAAGATATCAGGTATGTTTCATTGATAACACGATGCTGGTATCACACAACAGACACGTTTCCTAAAGGTCACCTACACAATTCTGTCACAAAGGCAAAAGATCCTGCAGGGATCCTGTAGGACTTTCTAGTAAGGGTGGTCTCATGCTCAAGGGGGCCCCATCTCTTAATACTCATAACAATAAGACATAGGATAATGTCAGAGGATACAACTCCACAGAAGGAAACCTGAAAGATACCTGTGAACAACTAAATGATTATCAAAATGCACAACCTGTACCAGACTTGTCCTAGTATATTTGGCAAAGTAAAGGACACAAGTGACATATCATGATCAGCTTTGATGACATCTAGAGGATGTTCACTGTTATTGCAGCCAGGCCTTTGTCCTGGTCACAGAGATCAAATCAAATTGTATTTGTTACATGTGCCAAATACAACAGCTGTAGACCTTACCGTGAAATGCTTACTTACAAGCCCTTAACCAACAATGCAGTTTAAGAAATAGAGTTAAGAAAATATTTACTAAATAAACTAAAGTAAAAAAAAACCCATACCCACTACCCTCTGTAGCGCCTTACGGTCGGATGCCGAGCAGTTGCCATACCAGGCGGTGATGCAACCAGTCAGGATGCTCTCGATGGTGCAGCTGTAGAACTTCTTGAGGATCTGGGGACCCATGCCAAATCTTTTCAATCTCCTGAAGGGGATGTGTTCGGCCCTCCTTTTCCTGTAGTCCACGATTAGCTCCTTTGCCTTGCTGACGTTGTGGGAGAGGTTATTGTCCTGGCACCACACAGCCAGGTCTCTGACCTCCTCCCTATAGGCTGTCTTAACGTTGTGGCTGATCAGGCCTACCACTGTTGTGTCGTCAGCAAACTTAATGATGGCGGTGTAGTTGCGGTCTTCGGCCACGCGGTCGTGGGTGAACAGGGAGTACCCCTGAGGGGCCCCCGTGTTGAGGATCAGCGTGGCAGATGTGTTGTCGCCTACCCTTACCACCTGGGGACGGCCCGTCAGGAAGTCCAGGATCCAGTTGCAGAGGGAGGTGTTTAGTCCCAGGGTCCTTAGTTTAGTGATGAGCTTTGTGGGCACTAAGGTGTTGACCGCTGTATAATAAGTGCTGTAAATGTTCAACTATTACAAACACTAGACCTTATGGTAGAATATAACTGAATATAAAGAGAGTCAACCTTATGGATATAACTCCACAGTGAGAGAGAGAGAGAGAGACAGGAATGGCAGAGACACAGCAAGCATCCCTCTTCCTCTTTTATTTTGCTGTTCATTAAATCATTCATCATCACCCCTCAACAGTCAACAACACGTCACTCTTTCCTCACGTATCCCAGAACATCACAGGTTGAGACAGATCGAAGACATCCTCCCATCCACACTGTACATGAACGTCAGTCTGCAGTTTGCTTGGTTGGTCTGTGTTATATTAACAAATATATATACAGATATTCCGGAAAGAGAATCATAATAACAATAATTAATCATTATTTCAATTATAACAATCATTTTAATAAATACTCTGAGCGTTCTTAACCACACAAGGAGAATAAGGGTGGGTTTGGCTCACCCCTCTACCTATGGGATTGTCACCATCCCATACAAATAATAACACTAAATACACACACACACACAAACACCCACACATGCACACACGCATACACACACATACATACAAACACTCCTGCACACATAGTCAAGTAAATACTTGTGTCAAGTCCTTCACAATCTGCACTCTTGTGACACGGACAAATCAATGTCAATATCATGGCTCTTTAACCAAAGAGTGTGCCCCTTTTTCCCTTCAATGGTGCTGTATCACTCTCCAGTAGGTGAGAGAAGGAAGTCAGGGGTATGGAATGTGGGAATTCGTTTTTTGTAGAAAACGGGTAGTATTCATTAACCATTTATTGCAAGTGGATTAACCCTCATTTCCCATGGTTCTCTTCTGCTCTCAGAGGACCTGCTGTTGTTGTAGTAAACTATCCATATAACAGAGTGTATGAGAGGCTCTATACAGAGCAGTGATGATGTTGAGCGAGAGGACGTTTGCTGAGAAACTCCAGGTTATGAGGACATAGAGTTTCACATTTACAGTAACTTTCCCCAAATTCCTTGGTTTTCCAGAAATCCTGGTTCGAGAATTCACGTATATCCTGCTTATTCCAGGAATCTTTCAACCAGGGTTTCTGGTAAACCAAGGAATTTTGGAAAAGTTATCGGACATTTTGCAACCCTATGATTACATAAAGAATGAGGGAGAAAAACATAATGTTTCTGCTCTCTTATAACGGATGTGCTACTTCTACACTACATCATTCACACTAAATAACATGCGGTAACAAAACGCAAGCACACACGTGCGCGCACGTGCGCACCCACACAGACACACAATTCGCCAAACCAATAGAAAATTCTGTGCTAAACAGGTTATGGCTGGAATGGTTCAAGCATTGAGATAAATACAACTCATTCGCTATACAGAGCTGAGGAAATAAAGTCCTGTCCATTGTGCTGTGGAGCTTAAAATGGCTTCCCTGTTCCAGTCTTTGGGGAGAGGAGGCAGGATAGAGACCATTCCTATACAGGAAGATGCTATGTGGATGTGAGGGAGTTGGACATTAGTTCTATAGAAGGGGATACACAATAAGAGTGCAGCTTACGCACTGATTTGGAAGTCGCTCAGGATTTGAGCATCTACCTACCATGACTACATGTAAATATGAAGGAGGGGCAGCAGGGTTCACATGAGGGGACACCCAGAGGTCTCTCATAACAAATCAGGTCACCCCCACAATAAAACTATTAATATGGACACTTCAAGGGCACTCCCAAGAGTCAATGTGTACAATGATTCCAACCCTGATGAGAGGTGTGAATTGTCTACGGCTGGCAAAGCTTCAGCCCTAGTCTTTGGGGAAGGAGTGAGCAGAGACAGACATGACACCTGTGTAGAGAGAGGCAGAGAGTCAATGGAGTGGTTTAGCAGAATGAGTGCTACTATAGTAAATGATGAACAGGGATGAGCACTTAGAAGTGTCTGTCTGGAAGTGTAATGGCTTACATGTTCCTTCCTTTTAGAGGACGGGTAATATGTGGAAGGTTAGGAGGGCACACTGGTCACTAGGGCACTAAAGGTTAGAACTCTAGGGGCTGCAGAGTGGTCACTCAGAGGAATGTTGTCCCACACTAGGCGGCTTTGGAAGGGACACTAAGACAAGTACTGTCCCGGATTCTGGGTGAGTACTAGGAGCACTAGGAGACTAGCGGGCATACTACAAGGCTTAGGAGTGACCACCAGGAGAGAGGTACAGCCCGCAAAAGTGGGCTTCTGAGTGGGGAATAGGAGAAGTACTGTTCGCAAAGGGATTGTGTACCAGGAATAAAGCGTGCACACTAGGAGTCTTTGAAGTGTGCACTAGGAGTAGTGTTGCCCATATACAGTAATGTGGCAGAGTGTGGCTTAACCATAGTTCTGTCCACAGAGCTGTGTGGCCTGGTGCTGTTCACACAGGGGCACGGTGCCGTCCAGATCCTGTCCATCCACGTCCATGTCCATGAGGTTGGGCCTGGCTGCGCTGGTGCTGCTGTCCCCAGAGCCCAGGGGACTGTCACAGCTGCTGCCTGGCGATGAGCTCAGGGTCCTGGACAGGGAGCCCAGCTTCCAGGGGTCTGGTCGCACCTTGGCTGGGGTGGGCCGAGGCCGGGGGGCGAACTCCAGGGTCTTGGGCCTCTCCAAGGGGCTGATGATGGTTAGGGGCTCCAGGACGGGGACAGGCGGAGCGGGGGCCTTGCGGCGAAGGACCCTTGGGAAGAGGCTGGAGGGGTCAGAGAATCGGGGGATATCCAGGGTCTCCCTGTAACCTGAGAGAACAGAGAGAAATTGTTGAGCATGAAAAACCCTGCAGAGTTTCAGTTCTTGATACAAACCGGTGCGCCTGGCACCTACTACCATACCCCATTCAGAGGCACTTAAATATTTTGTCTTACCCATTCACCCTCTGAATGGCACATATACACAATCCATGTCTCGTTGGTCTCAAGGCTTAAAAATCCTTCTTTAACCTGTCTCCTCCCCTTCATCTACACTGATTGAAGTGGATTTAACAAGTGACATCAATATGGGATCATAGCTTTCACCTAGATTCACCTGGTCAGTCTATGTCATGGAAAGAGCAGGTGTCCTTAATGTTTTGTACACAGTGTATTGCTTCCTTTTCTTCAATTAAAAGCTCATAGTGACATCATGCTTTCCCAACACACTCACCTGCATGTAGGGGAAGGGTGGGTGGCCCTGGCGGGGGTGGCATGGGCATGCTGCCGTCCGAGGGGGTCCTGCGGTGCCCTAGGGTTTGGGCACGGGGGCGTATTGCCCCATCAGAGGGGGTGCGTCTGTGCCCCCTGTTCATTGTTGCAGACACGTGGGTGGGCGTGAGTGACTGGTTGGGCTCCCTCTTGAAGCTCTCTGCCCTCAGATCCAGGAGGGGGTTAACGGAGGGGACGGGGGGGACGGGGGGCGCCACGGGGAGGGAGGCGCCCACTCCAGGGGTCAACGCTAAGTCCTCAAGGTCCGAGGGAAGGAGGGATTTGGTGGAGTTACAGTCTGAGAGGGAGGAGAGGGAGAGGAGGGTGACGGAGGGAGAGGGGTCCGTGCAGGGTAGAGTAGAGTCATGGTGGCGGGACAGAGAGAGGGACAGGGTGCGGCTCGGAGGAGAGGTGCTGCGGCGGAAGCGACCCGTTCGCTGGAAAATGCTGTCCTTTTTCTTGCGTTGCTCCTCTCTAAGGTCCTGCTCGTCCTGTTGTACCTAGACACACATGGAAACGGGTCAGTTCTTACTGGCATCTACTGTACAATCTAACGTTGTATAATGTAGTAGACCTTGTCAACACTCAGGTGTAGCGTATAAACCATTATTAAATGTATTAAGAGAATCTCTACAGCAGGAGGCAGGATAGAGGTGTTTTCCCATGGTTTGGGTCATTTTGTCCATCTGGGTGTGTTACAGACCCTTCTCCCTCCCTCCCTCCCTCCCTCCCTCCCGTACCTGTAGTCTCCCCAGCTGTAGCAGGTCCAGTCCCAGGCCTACAGAGGCCAGTAGGGAGGCACAGCCCAGCAGCAGCAGGTCGCTCTTCTTCCTCTGGCTGCAGCGCCGCAGAGAGTCCTGGTAACTCATCCCGTTCCCCATCCCGGGCCCCACCCCGCCTCCCTCCTCCACAGACCCGTTACTGCTGGGCTCTGGGGGCATCAGAGACCCGGGCGACTCCTCCAACTCACAGTGCTCCTCTGTCAGAGAGAGAGAGACAGAAAGATAGAGAAAGAGAGAGCATGAGAGGGAGAACAAAGCATTTCATTCAGTGAAGAATCGGACTCATTTTGTATCCATAGTATGTTCTACAATCTCTTTTCTGTTGCAGAAATGGCGATAAACGAAGAGACCCACCCATTTCATTGAGGCTGGAGAAGCCAGCGGTCATGGGGGCGTGTTTGGGAGATTTGCCCAGATTCGGGGCACTAGAGGACCACACCTTGCATCCGTCGCCCAGCGACTTCAACCTGCAAAACGAAGAAGATTGGGTCAATACTATTAACTGATACCATACACCAAACATTCACCAGAATAATGTTCAGAGATTATTCTGATATGCAAATGAAAAAATCAGAAAGGGTAGCAGGCAGGTAGGGGAATGGGCTAAGAAGGGGTTGTTTTTCGGACCATGACTGTTACCTGTCCTCTCCGCCCAGTCTCTCTCTCTGGAGGGTGGAGCTGGGGCCCCAGGTGCGTCCCTTCTTTTTGCTAGCTGCCAGGTCCTCCTTCTTACACACAGCACTGCGGCCCCATGTCTTGCTGCCATCGCTGGGTGTCACTGAGGGGCACAATAACACAGGTATTATCATTACAACAAATCATCAACAAGTTCCTGTTGTGCAGTGAGCAGAACAAAATGTAGTTCTATTCACTTGATCTAGGTAGGGAATACACAATATTGGTTAGGATTATATTGACACAATAGCGTCCCCCACAATTGAATAACTGGTATTAACTTTTGGTGTGTGCTCTGTCCTCCAGTCCCCCTCTACCCTGTCTCTGTCTCCCCCACAGATCAACTCACGTCGTATGGCCCTGAGGCGGGGTATGACCCCTGGGCTGGCTGGAGGTGTGGTGCTCTCACTGCCCTGGGGTTTCCTCTTATCCACGCTCGGAGACGCCTGCACTGTGATCTTATGCTCAAAACCTGTGTGCATACAAAACAGGGAGGAATTACAGTCAAATGATTGGCAGCAAAATTCCGGTAACTTTCCCCACATTGCTTGGTTTCACAGAAATCCTGGTTGAAAGATTCCCGGAATCAGAAGGGAATAAGCAGAAAATATGTGAACCCTCCAACTGGTATTTCTTAAAAACCTGTGGATTTTGGGAAAGTTACTGGAATGTTGCAATCCTAATAAGGATAGAAAGAAATAATGATGCCCTATTAAAGTAATAGGATAAATGTTTGGGTGCAATACCCTCCACCACCCACCAGAGGGCAGACTGATGCTGTTGCTGTCTCTGCCCAGCTTGAGCAGTCTGCTCTTCTTGAAGTGGCCCTTGCGCTTCTTGACCCTGGGCTTCTCCTGGTACATCTGGTGGATGATGATGTTGAGTTCACGCTCCACGATATCGATCTCTCTCTCAGCCAGCTCCTGCTCTCTCCTCTTCAGCTGCTCCTCCTGTTCCCTCTGCTCCTCGGCTGCACGAGCCAACGCCTCCTCCCAGGAACGCAACTCCTACAGGAGAGGAGAGGGACATATGGAACAAGAATGTTGATGTAGTGTTACAGCAACATAACACCCTATCGAGGATCTTCACGTTGCCAAGGCAACAGCACTTTCCCACTTGCACTTTGAGGGGGATGTTCACAACATTCCCACATGACCGTGGGGGCTCCTCTCACCTTCTCCTTGGCCCTGAGCTCGTCAAACATCTGCTGGATCTCCAGCCTCCAGTCCTCCTGCAGAGAGTGGAAGGACTCCAGGGGCATCTGAAACATGGCCGACTGTTCGATGGCCAGCAGTCGCATTAGGATACTAGTGAAGGACGGGCGACTGTGGGGGTTAGGGCTCCAGCATTCTGGGGATGGGGATAGGAGGTTGAGTCAATATGACTTTAATGTAAATTCTCAAACAACAAAGTACAGTGGTTGTCTTTTAGATGTACATGTCTCCCCACCACCTCCACCACTGAACAGACCGCAATGCTCTGTAGCACCAATTGCCCTCAGATCCCAAACAATTGTTTATAGACAGACAGATAATATTTCAAGTCCAAGGATGGGCAAAGGAAAAAGAAAGAGGAGAGGAAAGAGGGGAGAGAGGACACAGTAGAGAGGGGTGACAAAGGAGAGATTAAAGGATGACCAGGGATAAGACGGAGGATAGGGAGAGAGGGATGAAGAGAGAGAGAGCATTAGGGATGCATGGATATAGTGGCGAGAGAAGTGGAGCAAGAGACTATGAAATCACCAGTTGGCTGACTGGGAGGTGAACCTACAGTACTCTCACTCTGACCACCAACAATAATAGACGTGAAGCTGGGCTGACAGGAAGCCATCTTGGCTCTCGTCAATAAGTGAAACTGGGCTGACAGGCGACCATCTTGGTTCTAATCAATAAGTGAAACTGGGTTGACGGGCAACCATCTTTGTAAGTGAAATTGGCCTGACAGGCAACCATCTTGGTTCTTACCCGCCAGCAGGAGTGCGAAGGGCTCGGGGCAGGTGGAGGGGATGGGCAGGGTCAGTTTGTTCATGGCCACTCCGTACGCCACGGCCAGCGCATCTATCTCACGGTACGGAACCTCTCCTGTTAGCAGCTCCCATAGCAGCACCCCGAAACTGAGGAGAGAGAGAGGGGGGAGAGGTACAGCTTAAAATCACAGGCACATGTCATGAATGTACAGGCTATTCATATATTAACTTAACACACCCTTTATGTTACCTACTATATATGGAGGGTGTAAATTGCCCCTGAGGGTATGAATAGTTGAATTATTGAAAGAACAAGGACACTAGCTACTGACTGTGGGTGTTGCATGTGCACCATACTGTCCCACAGTAAAACACCTGTACAGAATGTTGTACCTCCAGACGTCGCTGCTCTTGGAGAACAGGGAGAGTTTGATGACCTCGGGGGCCATCCAGGCGTAGGTGCCGGCCGCGCTCATCTTGGTGGTCTGATGCCACTCCCGTGCCAGGCCAAAATCTGTAATCTTCAAGGTCCTCCCACCCAGATCCTCCCTCTCAATGGGCTCCAGGATCAAGACTGAGGAGAAAAGGAAAGAAGATGGCAAGAGAAGGGTGGGGGGGTAGGGTTAAAGGGGTGAGGGGAAAGAGCAATGGAGAGAAGGGAGAGAGAAACAGGAAGAGAGAGATAGATTGAGTTTGATTGGAGGAGTAAAGGTACAGTGCATACCACTAGCTCTATTACTATCTGTCCTCCAACAGAGGACCTTATCCAAAGCACTTTACACAGCACACCCCACCATCACATACATAGATAGGTGTGGTTATTGACAAAAGCAATTCAGGTTAAGTGTGTGATTCAAGGGCAGTACAACCTGGGGATTATCAGCCAGTGTCTGACCCTAGTCACCTGGCCATATTCCTATAATAGGCTATATCTGTCATGAACCTGTATTTTCCTCAGGTCTACACTCAACATATAGCACCATTGGCTAAAGGTGTGGTCAGACCAGTGTTCAGGTCTCTGCCTCACCGACATTATGCACTGCACCCAGCACCTCAGTTTTGAGAATTTCCATACAATGAAGCAATCATTTCAAAGTCTCTAGGTGACAGAGGTGAGTTGGCTTTTCCTGTTGGACGCCCAGCACTGGCCTTTCAACTCTCTCCTGTCCTCTCTTCTCCATGCACTTCCTCCTTCATTTCCGCATGAGGGCTGGCTATGGAAATATTTGGAGTGTACACAGTCCACGGTGCTGGGAGGGAGGAGGGGTTGTACTCACTTATCTCCAGGCGTATGCAAAGGGAGGCGGGGAGAGCACACAGCCAAGTCTTTGTTTACACACACGCACGCACACACAGAGAGACCTGGCTCATGTGACACAGGTGTGTCTCTGAGACTCTTTATTATGCTGATATGTAGCTAATGTCCACACATACACAGTTAAAAGGTCATGTCAAGTACAGTACATACTGTGTATATTGAGTCTTCAATTGATCAAGATTTGACTATATGATGTGCTTTTCTTAATCTTCCGATGCCTCCACCATCCATCAAATACCATTCTCACATTTCATTTTAGGTCAATCAACAATGTTCTGGGTTCAGTGGCATGATAACATACTGTATATGTCACAAGAGCACTTAGGCAATATTGCCTGTCTGTTGGTCAACATGCACATTTGTGTTTGTTTGTGTACGAGTGTGTGTATGTTTATTCATGTGTTTGTATGTTTCACATGCGTGTGTGTGTATGTGTGTATAGCCTCCACCCAAGTCTCATCTGAGGGACAGGGAATAGGGGACCGCTGCTGACAATAAGAAGCCATTGTCATCCCCCAGCTCTCTTTCTCTATTTCAATACCAACTATCTCTCTCCCTGAGAGGGACAGCTGTCTCCCAGGGCTGGCTGGGCCCTGTGTGTGTGTGTCTGTGAGTGCCTATGAAAGATGGAGAGAGAGTAAAAGAGAGAAAGAGAGAGAAGGCAGAGAGAGGGAGAGAGAGAGTGAATGAGTGAGAGAGCGAGAGGGAGGCAGAGAGAGAGAGAGAGAAGAGAGAGAGAGAGAGAGAGAGAGAGAGAGAGATTAGAGAATCGTAGTAGAGAGAGAGAGTATAAGAGAAGATAAAGAGATATAGTAGGCAGAGGCATGAATGTTGTGTGTCCGTTTGCATGCGAAACTGAGGGTATGTCTGTGTCTGTCAGAGTCCATAAATGTGTGTGTTTGAGTTAATACAACTTTGCTTTTGGTGTTTGACTACAGTATGTGCGTTGTACATAGCAGTGTGCGTATATATGGGGCGTGCTAGTGTTTGTGTCTGTGTATCTCAGTGAGCTTGAGAGAGAGAGAGAGAGAGAGAGAGAGAGAGAGAGAGAGAGAGAGAGAGAGAAGAGAGAGAGAGAGAGAGAGAGAGAGAGAGAGAGAGAGAGAGAGAATGTTTACAGATATCTGTGATCAAAGCAGAGGCACCTGCTCTCCACTAGCTCTCATGTTGTCACCATGTTTTCAGCTCCAGCACAACATTTCACAGCGTAACCATACTGATAGCTTATACAATATGAACTCATATTTAAAACTCCTTGCACACAAAACACCCAGCTGGTGATGGTGATAACTGAGTAGAACAATCCTTTTACACCAGACTGACACATTACCTACATCCTTCATTCCTATACATTTCAAAGCAATAAATTCCAAATAATATTTATGCAACACGGAAATATTTACACATCTACTGTAGCTAAACTTGAAAAACAACACATCACTGTTTCAGTTCATACATATTATTCACAAAGTGGTAAAGCCACTGGACCCTGACCCTCATAGGAAAGCAGAGGAATGTTGTGAGTCACTCTTTACACAGAGGCCTGATAAAGACTAACCATGGAGATTTAACCTTAGTGATTAGCCTTTAAAGGGGCAATCTGCAATTTCTACATGCATTTTGCAATTTGCTACATCCATCATTTTGATATCATGGATGGGCATTATTTGTATCCATAGCTCTGTCTATGAATTTGAGAGTGGTTACATTTCTCCAGCCCCATCCCTCAGCTGTTTACCAAAACGGGGTGACCGCTTTGTTAAGGTTAGTCATGACAACAGGTTATGTTAAGTACAGGTGGCTGATACACATTGGAGGTGGAGGGGCGTTTGAGGAAAGTCAAAACACGTATTACTGTGCAATTATTATGCAGCAATGTACTTGAGTTACTACTACTATTAAATGGGATTGACAGTGGTGAGTGCTACACAGCTTAACCAGTTAGTTTACTTCACTTTAGTGTGGGGTGACATTCATGTGCAGTGTCATCAACCTCAGTTGTTATGGTAACCAGGGCAGAGGTCGCGCTCTGTCAGACAGGACGCTAAGGAGCTGAGACTGATTCAGAGAGACGAGCCTGGGAGAACTGGGTAGAGTTGACAACACAGTTAGTAAACAAGCATAGTGGCCTCACTAACACCCCTATACTCCTCTTCCCTCCATTCCTCTCTTTCACTTCTACCTTCCTCCCCATCCCTTCCTGTCCTTGTTACTGACAAGGAGCGTATGGCTGAGCTCTTTAATCACCACTTCTTTAAGTCAGGATTCTTATTTAACTCAGCCATGCATCTTTTATTTTATTTTTTGGGGGGGTGGGGTAGATCAGCTTTAATATTGCAGATAGAATATGGCTTCTATCAATGTAATTGTCTGCATCATTTCCCTCGTTTTTCCCTGCTACACAGCTTCTCCCTGCAGGCGGTCACTGAATCTGAGGTGCTAAAGGAGCTCCTTAGACTTGACCCCCAAAAAACATCTGGGTCAGATGGCCTAGATCCTTTCTTCTTTAAGGTTTCAGCCCCTATCATCGCCAAGCCTATCTCTGACCTTTTTAACCTGTCTCTCCTCTCTGGGGAGGTTCCCATTGCTTGGAAGGCAGCCCCGGTGCATCCTTTATTTAAAGGGGGAGATCAAACTGATCCTAACTGTTATAGGCCAATTTCTATCTTGCTCTGTTTATCAAAAGTGTTGGAAAAACGTGTAAATAATTAACTGACTGGCTTTCTTGATGTCTATCGTATTCTCTCTGGTATGCAATCTGGTTTCCGCTCAGGTTATAGATGTGTCACTGCAATCTTAAAGGTCCTAAATTATGTCACCATTGCCCTTGATTCTAAGCAATGTTGTGCTGCTATTTTTATTGACTTGGCCAAAGCTTTTTATACGGTAGACCATTCCATTCTTGTGGATCGGCTAAGGAGTATTGGTGTCTCTGAGGGGTTTTTGGCCTGGTTTGCTAAATCAAATCAAATCAAATTGTATTTGTCACATGCGCCAAATAGAACAGGTGTAAACCTTACCATGAAATGCTTACTTACAAGCCCTTAACCAACAATGCAGTTTTAAGAAAAATAAGAGTTAAGAAAATATTAACTAAATAAACTAAAGTTAAAAAAAAAATTACACAATAAAATAACAATAACGAGGCTAAATACAGGGGGTACCCGTACCGAGTCAATGTGCAGGGGTACAGGTTAGTCCAGGTAATTGAGGTATTATGTACAGTACATGACTATGCATAGATAATACACAGCGAGTAGCAGCAGCGTAAAAATGCAAAAAGTCCGGGTAGCCATTTGATTAACTGTTCAGCAGTCTTATGGCTTGGGGTAGAAGCTGTTAAGGAGCCTTTTGGACCTAGACTAGGCGCTCCAGTACCGCTAGCCGTGCGGTAGCAGAGAGAACAGTCTATGACTAGAGTGGCTGGAGTCTTTGACAATTTTTAGGGCCTTCCTCTTCCATTCATCCCAAAGGTGTTCAATGGGGTTGAGGTCAGAGCTCTGTGCAGGCCAGTCAAGTTCTTCCACACCGATCTCGACAAAACACTTCTGTATGGACCTCGCTTTGTGCACGGGGGCATTGTAATGCTGAAACAGGAAAGGGCCTTCCCCAAACTGTTGCCACAAAGTTGGAAGCACAGAATCGTCGTCTAGAATGTCATTGTCTGCTGCAGCGTTAAGATTTCCCTTCACACCATTATTCCACCTCCACCAAACTTTACAGTTGGTACTATGCATTGGGCAGGTAGCGTTCTCCTGGCATCCTCCAAACCCAGATTCGTCCGTCGGACTGCCAAATGGGGAAGTGTGATTCATCACTCCAGAGAACGTGTTTCCACTGCTCCAGAGTCCAATGGCGGCGAGCATAGTGATATTAGGCTTATGTGCAGCTGCTCGAACAGTTATTGTGCTGACGTTGCTTCCAGAGGCAGTTTGGAAATAGGTAGTGAGTGTTGCAACCGAGGACAGATGATTTTTACGCGCTACGTGCTTCAGCACTCGACAGTCCCGTTCTGTGAGCTTGTGTGGCTTATCACTTCGCGGCTGAGCCGTTGTTGCTCCTAGACGTTTCCACTTCACAACAACAACACTTACAGTTGACCAGGGCAGCTCTAGCAGGGCAGACATTTTACGAACTGATTTGTTGGAAAGGTGGCATCCTGTGACGGTGCCACGTTAAAGTCACTGAGCTCTTCAGTAAGGCCATTCTACTGCCAATGTTTGTCTTTGGAGATTGCATCGCTGTGTGATCAATTTTATACACCTGTCAGCAAACGGTGTGGCTGAAATAGCCGAATCCACTAACTTGAAGAGGTGTCCACATACTTTTGTATATATAGTGTAGCTCAGGCAGTAGGATGCTCTCTCATCCATTTATATGCAGATGATACAGTCTTATACTCAGCTGGTCCCTCCTCTGATTTTGTGCTAAACGCTCTACAACAAAGCTTTCTTAGTGTCCAACAAGCTTTACATTTACATTTACATTTTAGTCATTTAGCAGACGCTCTTATCCAGAGCGACTTACAGTTAGTGAATACATATTTTTTTATACTGGCCCCCCGTGGGAATCGAACCCACAACCCTGGCGTTGCAAACGCCATGCTCTATCAACTGAGCTACATCCCTGCCGGCCATTCCCTCCCCTACCCTGGACGACGCTGGGCCAATTGTGCGCCGCCCATGAGTCTCCCGGTCGCGGCCGGCAGCGACAGAGCCTGGATTCGAACCAGGATCTCTAGTGGCACAGTTAGCACTGCTATGCAGTGCCTTAGACCACTGCGCTTTCTCTGCCCTTAACCTTGTTCTGAACACCTCCAAAACAAAGGTCATGTGGTTCACCCCCCTCCCCTCCCCCCCACCCCCACCGGTGTGATTACTACCTCTGAGGGTCTAGAGCTTGACGTAGTCACCTCATACAAGTACTTGGGAGTATGGCTAGACGGTACACTGTCCTTCTCCCAGCACATATCAAAGCTGCAGGCTAAAGTTAAATATAGACATGGTTTCCTCTATCGTAATCGCTCCTCTTTCACCCCAGCTGCCAAACTAACCCTGATTCAGATGACCATCCTACCCATGCTAGATTACGGAGATGTAATTTATAGATCGGCAGGTAAGGGTGCTCTCGAGCGGCTAGATGTTCTTTACCATTCGGCCATCAGATGTGCCACCAATGCTCCTTATATGACACATCACTGCACTCTATACTCCTCTGTAAACTGCTCATCTCTGTATACCCGACGCAAGACCCACTGGTTGATGCTTATTTATAAAAAACCCTTAGGTCTCACTCCCCCCTATCTGAGATACCTACTGTAACCCTCATCCTCTACATACAACACCCGTTCTGCCAGACACATTCTGTTAAAGGTCCCCAAAGCACACACATCCCTGGGTCGCTCCTCTTTTCAGTTCGCTGCAGCTAGCGACTGGAACAAACTTTTTAAAAGAAACACTAAAACTGGACAGTTTTATCTCCATCTCTACATTCAAAGACTCAATCATGGACACTATTACTGACACTTGTGGCTGCTTTGCGTGATGTATTGTTGTCTCTACCTTTTTGCCCTTTGTGATGTTGTCTGTGCCTAACAATGTTTGTACCATGTTGTGCTGCTGCCATGTTGTGTTTTTTTTTTTTGGGGGGGGGGGGGGGGGGGGGGGGTGGGTAAGCATCCCCAAACCATCACCACCATGCTTGACCTTTGGTATGATGTTCTTACTGTGGAATGCAGAGTTCGGTTTTCGCCAGGCATTACTGGAACCATGTCGTCCAAAAAGTTATACTTTTGAATCATCTGTCCATAGAATGTTCTTCCAAGAGTCTTGATGATCATCCAGGTGCTTTTTGGCAAACTTGAGTCAACTTTTTGGACGAGATGGGTCCCATTATGCCTGGCGAAAACCAAACACTGCATTCCACAGTAAGAACATCATACCAAAGGTCAAGCATGGTGGTGGTGGTGTGATGGTTTGGGGATGCTTTGCTGCCTCAGGACCTGGACGACTTGCCTTAATAGAAGGAACCATGAATTCTGCTCTGTATCAGAGAATTCTACAGGAGAATGTCAGACCATCCGTCTGTGAGCTGAAGCTGAAGTGTAGCTGGGTCATACAGCAAGAATGATCCAAAGCACACAATCAAGTCTACATGAAAATTGCTAAAAAGCAACAAATTGGAAGTTTTGGAATGGCCTAGTCAATGTCCAAGACCTAATCCCAATTGAGATGTTATGGCAGGACTTGAAACGAGCAGTTCATGCTTGAAAACCCACACATCACTGAGTTAAAGCAGTTCTGCATGGAAGAGTGGGCCATAATTCCTCCACAGCGACGTGAGA